CTACTCTTCTTAATGCATTGTTCAAAGGTGCGATGAATATTCCCAGAGAGCTCTTACTGATTTTCGTTAACAAAATTTTCGGAGTCTTCGTGAACGATCGTTTGATTTTTTTTAAATAGGCTTTGTTTTGTCCTCTTTGTTAGTTTGCAAGTGGGAAGTGCGTTCTAAAGAATTGTGCAGTATATTACTTCCCTACCCAGTTTTCATGGGAATATAGTCAAATTTGAAACTGGAATGTGGCCATATATACATAGCCATAAGCGAAATATATACATAGCTGTGTGTAGCAAAACGAAGTGTAACCTGTCGTACTACGATCAACAGAAAGAAATAACTTTAAATTCCTTCTTAATAGATTCAAATTTTTGTGTTGATGAAGGCATCAATGTATCAAATATAGACAAAAATTGAGAAACTCTTTAATCTGATCTTTTAATTGTGTCCTCTGATTCACCATTGCTTGTTGTGAAAGTGTGCCCATTTAATTGAACATTGGAGTGGCGACCTACGCGATGAACTGGAGCCCACTGTAGTCGCTGCGCATCCTTTTACGCTTCTCGAAACAATTAACGTTGCTTGACTGTTTGAAAACCAATCCAAAAAAGACAATTGATTTCAATAACAACCACCGACAACAAAATAATTACATAAACCAATTGTCTCAAAAATTTGTGACCAATCCGAACGAAAACAATAACCAACCAAATAACCGGAGACGCTATGAAAATTTTGTTGACAACAACAATTATGTAAAGAACACTAATAGTATTGAATATTCCAGTCCTCCACATTACATTAATCCTAACATAACTACATAACTACAACAAAAACCAAAATCGCAACAGAAATGACACTTACACAATACAATGCCAAGGAAGCGGGATGCACCTGAAAGCGCTCCGGGCTACTAATCGCAAATGTGCGTTCAACATCTCAGGGATTAGTTAACTACATAACATTCACAATAACTAACTGTCCACGATCTCTCACCTTCTTAATAGACTCAGGTGCAGATAGCAGCCTATCCGGAGAAGACATATTAAACTGGTACATAGAAAACACCACAAATCGCTGCAATTTAATGAGGATAACGAAGCAACAAATATACTCTTTAGGCTCCGCAATACTCCTTATAGCATAAAGCCCTTATAATGTACCCGGAGTGAAGATACTCCATTAGCCACAGAGGCAATAATAAAACCACAAAAAACAGTAATCACTAAATTTCTTTAACAGATAACACCATGCATGCAAACTACTCAACATAAATAGCTACCCGATCTTAATCAAAAACTTAGAAATCAAAACACAACCATTTGAGGATTGTAACATAACACCTGTTAGTAAAGTAAGTGAAAAACAATTAGAAGAACGTTATCCCCCTAAACTCCTAAACATTATAAATCTCACCACAGCAATCAATGGTGACAATTTCGAATTAGCAACAAACAATTTTTGTTAACAAGATACACAACAAAACACTGGTATAGGCCAACACTGGCAATAGACCACCTACCACATTCCCAAACTGACGAGATTAACAACCAAGTCAATAAATTACTAGGAAACCGAGTTACGGAACCATCGGTCAGCCCTCCCAACTCAGCATTACTTCTTGTGCCCAAAAAGGGAAACAACTATGGAAAACACTGGAGATTTGTCGTCGATTACAGAAAACTACAAAAAAACGACAAAAGTGTCAATGACAAATACGCATTGGCACGAACAGAGGACGTAGTAAACAAGGTAGACAATGCAAATTGAACTCGGCGATGACTCCTTACCACTAACAGCGTTTTCGACCAGCAATGGTCACTAGATATCATCTAATGGTTTTCAATGTGTGCTCGATGTAGCACTTTCTAGATCAAAAGCAGAAGCTTTCCTGTATGTGGACGACATAATAGTATACGAAAATCGCTTACGTCATCGTAATAACACATCTAACCAAAGGATTCCAAAAAGTCGCGCAGAATAACCTAAAATTAAATCGTCAGATATGTAAGTTTTTACGTAAAGAAATCACATACCTTGGGCACTTCGCATAAGGACACTGATGACATTAAACGCTTCACTGCTTTCTACTGTTATTGCAGACCTTCGTCTAATCATACCTTCATCTAATGAATCAGCGTATGATGATCTCCGCCAGAAATTAATGGAACCCCCAATTTCCAACAATATGAAGACCTTGATAAACCTCTTATTCTCACTACTGATGCTTCAGAAACAGCTGTAGGTGCTATTCTCTCTCAAAGCGGCTCGTCTGCACCCTATGCAAGTAGATCATTAAATGTACATGAAAATATAAATCAATGATTGAAAAAGAATTACTTGCTATGCGTGCTATGGTAACCGCCCTCGTGAGGAAAGAAATTTATAGTCATTGCAGATAACAGGCCATTAATCGGATATCCCTCGCCACGATCAACATGAATTAGACTAGAATCATCTAATTATGATTTCGAAGTTATCTAAAAGAAAGGCCAAAGCAACGTTAGCGCTGATGGTCTATCGTAAAGTGAATTAAACTCGTGAGTATTAAAAACCATACTCCATTTATGTAATAATGTAAACAAGGTCAAACTCACCATAGGCAGACTGATCACCTTCGCATGCGGGAGTACAAAGGTCAAAACAAATTATATTTTCAAACCTTGAGATAATCCTCGATAATTAGGCATTTTTCTGGAGAAGCTACTTTCCGAACTTAGGAAACTGAAATATAATAAATATTATTAATCAATGGCTATTAAAATGTGTTAACATACGAAGCCTTAAAGAGAAAGATAACAACAATATAATAATCAGAATCTTTGAAAAGCCCAAAACAGTCAATGATGACGTAACCAAAAATAGACTAATAAAACTCATCATATCATAAATCAGCACAATCAGGTCATTTTGGGGTAAGGAAAACCTTAACGAAACTAAAAAACGAAAGTATATCTGGAGAGAGCAAAGGAACAAGTGCGTGAAGCATACCAAACAATCGTTAGAGACAACACAGCACAGCTTCAACACAGTTTTGAAGTGATCTCAATTGACAATGTAGGACCTCTTAGACCCTCAGATCAGTATAGATATGTATTAACTGTGCAATGTGATCTTACAAAATATATAATAGCGTACTCTCTAAAGACCAACGAAGCTAAGTCAATAGCGAAGGTACTAGTAGAAGAGCTTGTACTAAAACATGGACTTTTCAAAACACTGAAATCAGACAAGGGAACTGAGCTCTAGAACAAAAACTATTCAAGGAAATCTGTAAACTGCTGCATATAGAATGAAAATTCTCTGCTCCCTGCCATCATGAAGCATTGGGAAGTCCAGCCACAGAGTACTAAATGCGTGTTTCCTCTCCTTTGTAGAAAATAATCAATGACACGAACACATCCCATATTTTGGTTTAGCGTGCACCACCTCGCCACATAATGATACAAATTACACACCGTTTGAACGCGGCAAGCTACCGGATATGCTGGGCGATATTCTACTTAAGAGTGAAAAAGCAGATAATATTCGCAATTATGTCGCTGAACTGAAAGCCAAGTGGTGGGTACGCGAGATTGTCCCCCCGACGAATATAACTTTCTTAGTTGTTTTTATTTGTTATACTTTTAGTTTTGAGAAATATATATAAGAAGAGATATATATATATACATAAAATATATATGTATAAGAAATATACATAAACAAAACATTAGTACGCTTTTATTTATATTTGCTTAATAAAATTATGTGTGCTGGGTTAGTTGCAAATACATCTACAACAAGAGTTGTATGTGTAACACTAGGTCACGATCGGTTTAATATGAAAATGTTGTTTCTCTGTGCTAAATGTCAGTTGAATGATTTTAGCAGTTCTTTGTGCTAAATGTCAG